GCAAAGGAAAATGCTAGAAGCTGACTCATTTTTCCATCACTTGGCCACTTCTCACCCAAACTCAAAGCAATTGTCATAGTTGTTTTTCAACAGTTGTGAATGATAAGGAGCACAAGAGGGTCTCTTGTAGACCATCTTAACTGCTGCCATTGCTGGTGTCAATATCCAGGCTGCTCTTGCTGTGTAAAGCTTGGCATCCTTTTTCCTGCTGTCATGGCAGACATAAGGTTGTACAGCAATATTGGGCCATTTTCTGCTGTCTTAAATCATGTCTACAGAAGCACAATATCCTACATTCATAAACCAGGGTTGGTTTTTTTCCCCCCTGAAGAATCACATTAGTTGTAACTGGCAGTCATCTGACCACATCCTGACCAGCTTCATAGAAATGCATCAGGGAGGGAACTTCACTTCCCTCTTAAAGTCGTATGTGAGTTTGTTTGCATTCCTTTCCAAACATGCTTTCCCTGTGGCTCAGTTTTCCTCTCTTGCTTTTTGGACTGGAATGAGTATGGCACAGAAATTTCATGTGTTTTTTTTTTAAATGAGAGTTGGGGATTTGTGCTGGCATCACATGCCCAGAGGCCCTGGACATAGTTCTTTCACATGCAGCAGAGCAACGTTTGGTCATGGAAACCCACTGCTGGAACTAAATTCTGCTGGTTCTTGTTTGAAATGAAGCCCTGGCAGAATTTCCCTGGAAAGATACGAGATGAGCCAAAAGGGTGATATATATTGGCAGTGCTGATGTGCAACATGGACAGAGAAGAGTCATAGCCTCAGTGGTAAGAGTAGCTTAAATGTGATTTTAAATAGCTGTGTTTTCCGTTATTGTGCACTGCCTTGGGGCAAAGGTGGGACATAAGTAAATGAATAAAATAGCATTGTAGAGACAGGGTGCTTATTGTAGCATGCGCATTGCTGCAACAGACTAACACATCTACTCCTTTGGAAACTGCCCTCCTGTCTGTGGCTCTTGGCTTTGCTCACCTCACCTCATATATTACAAGCTCTTGTGGGGTTTGCCCTAAAGTTAGCAAGGTGCATAGGAATGAAATGACAACACCACTGGCAGCTTTGAGCCCAGTTTCCCTTGCGTTTGTAGCAAACAGGCAACAGCGACAAGATCTCTACTTGGCAAATCACCCAGTACCTCCCTGAGAGAAAGAAAGAAAACCTTAATTTTTGCTAGAAATGGAAATGAAATTAATAGAAACCAAATGCATCTGTCTTGACAGGCATCTTGCATTCAAAACTGAACAGACTGGACATTCTCCTATATTACTATTACTAATTAAAGTCAGTAATAGTAATATGGCTAGATTTATATATGAGCATTAGAAATGCCACCCAAAGGGGAGAAAGCTGTTCATTCATACTGAAATAGACTCTGAAACTGTTTAGCTCAAACAGTCTTCTGAAAGCATGTTCTTTTCAACACTCTCACTTTTATTTTATTTTTTATATATATATGCTGCCTTCCTTCCGATAGGGAAACCTAAGGCAGCTCACAACAATTAAAGCCGTGCAATAGTAATCAATTAAAAATCCCACACAAAATTATATATTTTTAAAAAAGAGTTAAACATTGGTCAAGATTAAAATCAATTTTGAAAAACATTTAAATGCGTTAAGTGCAAAAACTATGCATTAAGGAAGCTAAGAAACTGCCTCGCAGTCAGGCTGTTGGCATTTCATTTCCATTTCTAGCAGCTGGCTGCTGCTCTTCAGGGTCTAATCTGTGGGCATTTGCTTTTTGTAAGATGCTCAGAATAGTGGATACAAGCAAAAATTAATTAAATAGCAGAGGACTTTCACATCAGCGACACACAGATTATTTTTTGCTGTGAAGATCCAGGATTGAAACGGGCATCTTTCACATGCAGTTGCAGGTGCTCTTAGGACTGAGCCTATATGAATCTTCTCTGTCAACTTTGCACATCGGCATTGCCAACATATCACCCTTTTGGCTCTTAATTTCTTTCTGGGGAAACTCCACCCATCTCCTCTGTTTCTCCAGATGAAATTGTATTTGTATTGTGCTTATCGCTGCAGCGGGCATGGCTGAATCCCAAACTCATTCATGCTGTCACTCCAGAAGTCTCATTTTCTACAGTCACCCCATAGACATCCCATTTTCATAGAGGAGCACCAGCTCTCCTTCTGCCTTCATTTCTTTATTCATTTAAAGAATTGCCTCCACATCCTATTATCTTCTTGCTTCCCATACCACAGAATGGACAGAATTATGTGCTTCAGCATCCTCATGGTGGGATGCTGCAACCCACCTGTAGTAGTTTTGGGCATATTGCACACCATCGTGTGTGTGTGTGCGTGCGTGTGTGCGTGCGTGCGCACGCGCACACTGTGCTTGGCCTGCAGGTCTAACAAGTTGCCTGCTCCTCCCTTCTGAAGATTTTCAGATAAACTTGCACTTTGTTTATGGATAGCCAAAGAGAGGTTGGAAAATGGAGAGGGGTTATGGCTTTCAAAGCATTTTGTTGGAAGGAAGAAAATACACAAAAATAATTTTCCTTGCAAAGTTCTCTAGAATTTCTCTTTTTAAAAAAACAGACATAGAACTTTCCATTGTAGAGTTATTCCTGATTACATGCTCCAGAACTTCAGGTTCTCAATGCAGATCTTCTCCAGTATTTCCTGCCAAAGTAGAGGGTGTTTCTTTGCAGTTGTGGAGAGAATATTTAGGCCGATTGATCTCTTAGGAAATGATTTCCTGAAATTTTGGTTGCATAATTTATTGTAGGGAGAGCTGAAGAATTGTTGGGTGTGATTGCCACCTTTCTTAATGAACTTGCTTGAATGCCTTGAACATCAAGTGGACATGGCAAAAAAAAAGCACCAGAAGATGTTTCTACAGTCATCCCATAGACATCCCATTTTCATAGAGGAGCACCAGCTCTCCTTCTGCCTTCATTTCTTTATTCATTTAAAGAATTGCCCCCACATCCTATTATCTTCTTGCTTCCCATACCACAGAATGGACAGAATTATGTGCTCTAGCATCTTCATGGTGGGATGCTGCAACCCACCTGTAGTAGTTTTGGGCATATTGCACACCATCGTGTGCGCGTGTGTGCGCGCGTGTGCGTGTGTGTGTGTGTGTGTGTGGGGGGTCCACCAGAATGAAACCTCAGACTTGGCCATGGGAAATGACAACTCAGCTGCGTACTGCCTGGGTGGCCTTAGTTAGGATAATCATCATCCATCCTTCAGATTCTCTTCCTAATCTGTAAAATAAGAGGAGAAGAAACCTGCTTCACAGGATGTGAAGGTGGCCACGGGGAAAAATGCTAGATGAAACATTTCAGCCATAAGGACATTTTGGAATGAAACAGACAGTGGTGGTAGAAAGACATCTTGTTTGCATTTTGGATTCTTCTTTCCCAGTTCCAGAGGTCCGGCAGGTTCCAGGTGATCACTGGGACCGGAAGTCTAGAATTACAGCATGGGGGGGGGGAATCCTACCCCTAGTAGGAGCTCAGTTTAACTTTTGCCTAATACTAGGGGCTGAAGAGTTACAGTGTAGGAAGTCAGGAAGGAGGAAAGGCTGAAGGAAGAAACCTGAAATCAGAAAAAAGTAAGAGAGGAAATTGAGGCAGGGGTTCAACGTGTGAAATGAGCAGGAAAATCTGCTCCATCCAAGTGGACAGAGAGTGGTTGGGGGGGGGCAGCATATGTTGCTTAAGGGTTTTTTTAAAAAACAGCCTGCTGATGCCAAAAATGGATTTTCCTTAGTAAGAGCCATGAGAGCCAGAGCTCCTGAAAATCTCCAAAAACAATTCTCCTTTTATATAGAGTGCAACACCTGCCCTCCCCCACCCGCCTTGGGTTTAGTGCCAAGTATACCAAATTGGAAGTGGACTCCCCCCCCCCCCTTTCTAGTCCTGTTTTGGATGGTTTTTGCATTCTTGGTGGAGATCCATGCAGGCTCTGGAAGATTCATGGGACACAAAATTTGCATCTCTGGAAAGTCAGGTTCATGTGATGGTTGCTGGGAAATATGGTAGTGCAGACAGATTGAAGAAGCAAGGCTGAAGACCCTGGAAGCGCAAGGGTGCAGGAGGTTGAAATATTGATTTAAAAATAGTCTTACTTTTTAATCAATATTTCAACCTCCTGCATCCTTGCGCTTCCAGGGACTTCAGATCTCTAGTGGCACACTCTATAGTCTATACCATGCTTAGTATGATTTCTTTTTTTTAAAATACATTTTAAGGGGTGTGTTTTTTCTAAGCACAACTATTTATTGGAGGGAGTTTGCTTTTAGTTTTTTCTGTTCATTTGGATCTGCTGTAACAGTTTACTGCTGGGTGTTAACGCTGGTTAAAAATTGGATTAATATGCTGGAGTCTAGATGAGACTTGCCTTTGCCTCTTGTGCGAATGAAAATTAATGTGCATGAAAGAAAATTAAAGCACTTAAGCTTGATTGTGGGTGTGGTGGACAAAGGTGAATTTCTAGGTGTTTCTGTAACAAAGCAATGGGTGTGGTGTAAGAAGAGAAGCATTTTCTTCTTTTACACTTACTTTGTGGGCTTACCAAGAGTCAGCAAATACAGTTTACCTACAGAGCTTCCATCTTAAGATGTGAGGCCCAGTTCTGTACAAGTAGATATGACCAGAATTGTGTCAGGAATTGACACAAATACAGTGTTTGTAAGAGTAACTTCCACCACTGAACTGGGCCAGGCAGCAGCATTAGTTGGTGGGCTTCCTACTGTTGCACTCCATGCATTGGCTGTTAATTGAGGAGACCAAAATCCGTCTTGGGAATGCACAAGCAGGAAGAGGCAGTTCCAACCTTAAGTGGGTCTGGTTGTATCAGTGTACAGTACATAAATCATACAATTTTTTTGTTATAATACATCACCTCAATAAAATAGCTTTCCAGTCAAATATACCAACGGTAGTTTACATTTCTTTCCATGAATTTTGCACCAATCTGTGAAATAATTGCTCCTCCCCACCTTTTTTTTTCAGCAGTCTTTCTCCAATGAAGTTCATTGTGTTGAAGAAATTTTAAAGGTGAGTATCTTGCATGGTCAGCATATACTTTGAGAGAGAGAGATTTGGGTAATAAGTTGGTATTGGTAGTTGCTGGGTGTGATTTCAGAGTTTTTTTTCTTCATCATCCAAATGAGTTATTTCAGGATTTGGTTCAAAACAAAATAGTACCTTTTCAGTTTTTAAAGGATTTCTTAGCCGTGGACATAAAAGGTCCACTGTGAATCCTGAATTTTCAGTAACCAGCAAATACGGTGATTACCTGGTTGTCCCTATGTGGCTCTTCCTCCAAATTAGAACACCTTATCCTTAGGAAATGTGACTTCAAGGGTAGGGTGCAGCTGCCCTTCCCCACAGGTTTTGGAGAATCATTGTGGGCTCTGGCTCACAAAGGATCTGTGCGTTGATACAACTGGGAACATATCTACAGTAGAAAGTTTCGGCCTCAAACCTAGTCATTCTTCTTAGAAGCCAAAAGCTGGCTTCAGACTCTGGATTGTTAGAGGAAAGACAGATTAGCTCGAGATATGACACTTACCGTATTTTTTGCTCTATTAAGACGCACTTCCCCCCCCAGACGGACCTCTCCTTAAGGCTCACCAAATTTTTAGGAGAAGAAAGCAGATTATTATTTTCCTGTTTCCTTCTCTTAAAAATTTGGTGCGTCTTATGGAGAGGTGTGTCTTATGGAGTGAAAAATATGGTAAGCTTTTGGTTGCTGGTGAATTCTGTTACTACAGCTACTCCTACTTGCAGTAGAAGTGAAGGGAGAGTGATCAAGCAGTGAAGTGTTGGATAGTTCAGTGGTTTATGTCTCTGGCTGCGGAGCCAGAGGTTGGGAGTTTAATTCCACACTGTGCCTCCTTGATAGGAGCTGGGCTAGTGATCCATAGGATCCTTTCTTGCTCTGCAGTTCTAAGAGTTTATAAACAATGCTTGCACTTTATTGGTTAACCATATTTTCAGCAATTCTGGCTCATTGTTCTGGGCAAATGCAGCCAATGTGTTACTATTGCCATGCTCCAATAATATTTGGCAACAAGGGCATAAGAATACTAAATGAGATCATCTTCATCATCAACATTTTGGAACTGATTGTTGGAAAGGATCTTACTGATCAAGTCCAGCCTCTGTCAAGGAGAATTAAAGAATTAAAAACAGCAATCAGTGATCTAAAAAACTTAAATGTAGCAAACAATATGTAGCATTCACTATTAAAATATTCCATTTCTTCAGAGTGCACCAGAAGAGCATAATGTATCTCTTCCATTCAAGCCAGAATACTTAAATTTTTGCCCCCTCTGGCCCCCAGGGGGGCACGGTGAGCCTCCAAAGGGTCCTAGAGTGTGTTCCATAAGATGGACCTATCCATAAGGCTCACCAAATTTTTAGGGGAAGAAAGCAGATTATTATTTTCCTGTTTTCTTCTCCTAAAAATTTGGTGCGTCTTATGGAGAGGTGTGTCTTATGGAACGAAAAATATGGTAAGCTTTTGGTTGCTGGTGAATTCTGTTACTACAGATACTCCTACCTGCAGTAGAAGTGAAGGGAGAGTGAAGTGTTGGATAACTCCGTGGTTTATGTCTCTGGCTGCGGAGCCAGAGGTTGGGAGTTTAATTCCACACTGTGCCTCCTTGATAGGAGCTGGGGTAGTGATCCATAGGATCCCTTCTCGCTCTGCAGTTCTAAGAGTTTATAAACAATGCCTGCACTTTATTGGTTAACCATATTTTCAGCAATTCTGGCTCATTGTTCTGGGCAAATGCAGCCAATGTGTTACTATTGCCATGCTCCAATAATATTTGGCAACAAGGGCATAAGAATACTAAATGAGATCATCTTCATCATCAACATTTTGGAACTGATTGTTGGAAAGGATCTTACTGATCAAGTCCAGCCTCTGTCAAGGAGAATTAAAGAATTAAAAACAGCAATCAGTGATCTAAAAAACTTAAATGTAGCAAACAATATGTAGCATTCACTATTAAAATATTCCATTTCTTCAGAGTGCACCAGAAGAGCATAATGTATCTCTTCCATTCAAGCCAGAATACTTAAATACCACGGAACTACAGTATAGACTTTGTAGTACAATCTTCCTGTGATATGTGCAAAAAAGCTGCTTGAAACATAAGGGTATAAAATTGCATCACAATTTTTCTGTCGTTTCCCTGCATGTATGATTTCCTTGTGTCCTGCATCCGTAACTGAGGATATGTAGGAGATAAAGATTAAAAGTTGATGGCTGCTGTTCTTCTCTCCCTCCCCAAGGAAATGACCCATTCATGGCCGCCTCCTTTGACAGCCATCCATACACCTAGCACATCTGAGCCTTCAAAGTTTCCTTTTCCTGTAAAGGTAAAATATTTTGCTTTGTTTTCCAATCAGTTCAAACATGTACATGCACACATACGTTTCTACCCATTTCTAGCATTTGGTATGCTCTCAGAGTTGGGGGAAAATTTTTAAAATTATGCCTTTAAAGAGTGTTGTTTTCATGGAAACTGATGGGAAACTATTTGATTTGTATAGGTTACTCAAGAGTGTATGTCTACAATCATCTACTGTTTCTGTTTTATACACTTATACGGTGCATTGAGCTTAAGATGTACCAAAAAACAACAACAACACTCTGTGCATTTTATTTTTAAGGGGCTAGCAGACTTCCTAGAAGGGCATGACAATGCAGTTTTTGCAAAGCCGAAGGTCATTAAGTCATATTGCCTCCTGGCAGCTTCACTGAGCAAGTAATAACAACTCAACAATAATACTGTACATCTGTATCATATTCCAAAAACTTCCATAATGCTTCTTTCCATCATTCTGTTATTTATCTCAGGATTTCTACTCCCTCAAACAATCCCACAATTTCTCCTTTTCTACCAGTTATGTCTGCAACTGCCTCCTAGAATGTTATTTGATCTCATAATTTTGTATTCTTTTCCGATTCCTACTCTTAAACTCACATTTTCTCTAGAACATTTGTCATATTTTAATCCCTGTACTTTATTAATTTTTTAAACCACCCTAGAATCTTCACTGGAGGACAGATCAAAATATTTAAAAAGAAGGCAGCTTCAAGCATATTTCATATAAGAGAGTTGAGGCTGGGAAACCTTGGCGTGATTAAGTGCATCAGATTAGTTCATTGCATAATTTGAGACCCCAGTTCCTTAACTATTTTGTGACACATAAATCTTACAATTTTTCTTCTTTCTAGGAAACCCAGCATGGAAACCCAGGATCAGTGATACAGAGCCAAAGTAAGAAAACTGAAAAATATTTATGTCTTCCGTGAATATAATCTGCTGTGTTGTGTTGACGTGTGCTCATTTCAGTGAAGTCTACGTAGAAATTCCCATTCAAGCTCCACTGAAATGAAACTAGTGCCTGATGATTCTAGGACATTGTGTATGATACATATGAATGTGTATGTTCATAAGATGAATTTTTCATATATTTAAATATTTAATCATAGAGTTGGAGGTAGTTTTATAAGTCTGATACTGTAGTCTACACCAGGGGTCAGGAAACTTTTTTACCTTTTCCCCCCCCCAAAAAAAAAAAATTATATACGCCAACATTACCCCCTTGATTTGAAAGGAAGGAAATAATACATTATTTGAATTCAAAATCTTATTGAATATTCAAAATTACTTTGAAAGCTTCAACTTGCTTGAAAACTTCAGGTTTTGGAGAAATGATGTTGCTTCATCTTGGATATGAGAGCATCAATATTGGGGCTCTGCTCATCCTCATTACCCCCAGGATTTTCATTTTTACCCCATTTGGGGTAATTTACCCCTGTTCCCTGACCACTGGTCTACACAGTGCAGAAAATCAAAAGGTAGAATTTCTCCCATATACCCTACTTGAATCTCCTGTAAGGGAAGACCTCCAAGGCAATGCAAAGCAAAAACAAAGGGTCTGCTTGTATACCTCATCATAGCTCTTGAAGCACTCTCTGGGCGGTTTACCATTTAATAGCACAGGCTACACATTGCCCTCTCCCTGCCCTGGTGAGCTTGGTGCTCAATTTGCTTATCTCAGAAGGAATGGATGGTTGGGTCAACCTTGAGCCAACTACCTGAGCCCATCAGGACTGAACTCAGGTCATGAGCAATTAACTGCAAAACTGCCATTTAGCCACTGTGCTACAGTGCTATAATATCCTTCTTGATTCCTTTCTTCTCCATGCTAAACAGACAGAACTCCTTCAGCTTTTGCTTATTATGCTGCTCATTCACATCTACAGTGGTGCCTCGCATTACGATGTTAATTCGTTCCAGCGAAATTGCTGTAGAATGAAAACGTCATAATACGAAATAAAAAAGCCCATAGAAACGCAGTAAAACCCAATTAATGTGTTCCTATGGGCTTGAAACTCACAGTCCAGCGAAGATCCTCCATAGCGCGGCCATTTTCGCTGCCCGTGCATCGAGGAATCCGTCCCAGAAAAGAGCGGGGAGCCATTTTTTTTACCCAGCGGCCATTTTGGAACTGCCGATCAGCTGGCCGAAAATTGTTGTTTTGCAAGAATCAGTTCCGAAGCAGGGAACCGATCATCGCAAAGCGAAAAAAAAACCATTTAAAACATCGTAAAGTGATTGCTTTTGCGATTGCAAAAAGTTCGTCATGATGCGATTTCCTCATTAAACGGGGCGCTCGTCTTGCGAGGCACCACTGTAGTTTGTGACTGAATGCAGTCCCAATGTCCCTTTCAGATATGCAGCGGCCAAGCCAGCTGCTGTCCATCATGTACCTGTATATTTATTTGGCCAAAATGTGGAATTTCCTGTTGTTGTTGAATTGTAGTTTTGTCCAGTTTTCCATTCTGTCAAGGAAATTTTGCATTTCATTCCAGTCTTACTGTTTATCGATTAATTATGCTACTTACTCAGTCTCGAAGTGATACTAGCTGTCTCTCCCAGGGTTTTACATCATTTGTAAATTTGGCACATATTCTCTCCTCTCCTTGTCTGAATCATGGGCAGAGAAGCTGTATTTCGTGGGCAGCATGTAGTTTCATGTGTCCTAATAAAAGATGGAATACATAAAGGGGGGAAAGTGATGGGAGAACATTATTATGCAGTCTCGTAGTGCTGCCGTATGCATCTACTTTCTGGACTCTGAATTTTCCCTTATTAGCACCAGGTTTACCTACTGTAGGCTTTAGCCCAGTCTGACTTTTCTGAGGGTCAGCCACCCTTCTTAATAAAAAAGGTTCTTCACCTAGAGTTTAAAAAAAATGCTGAAACAAACTGGGTCCATTGGCCCAGTTAACACCTCTCTTTAAACTTCTCTCCAAGATGGTGATGAACTAGTTTAACCCCTTGACTAATCAGAGTATCACAGAAAATGGGATCAGATGCTGTTCTGAAGTGAAAATAAATCACATTAACAGAATTCTCATATTCAACTAAGTGGCTTAGTGCCTTAGAACAAAATAAGAGATGTGCTGAATCTTAGAGGATCGTATCTGGATAAATGAATGTCAGTTTCTACGGATTACTACATTTTTATCAATATGTTTTATAGATAGACTCCTTTTTAAATCAAGAAATGCAGGCCCTATTCTGTAGCATTACCTAGAACTTCTTAAAAAACTCCCATACTGAGTGAGGAATAGTAATAATTGAAGTAGTAATATGAAAAGCAGTTGTATTCTTTCCATTCATTAGAATTAACACTTGCTTTTTTACTTTCATCTAAATATGGAGGCCTAGGTACAGCCATGGTTTATGAGTGCACAATTAATGCCCCGGGGTGGGGGTGGGGGAAGGTTTAAATCCAGCTGTTCTAGAAGAAAACTTAGATTTTTTCAGGGCATATCTAGATCCTCTAACATGGCAGTTAGGACATATGGTTACGTATTACAGGAAAATATGGAAAATTGTCAGGAATAAACTTTACATTAGTCACTACATCTGGCACTGTGTAGATTATACACTATGATACTGTGTAGACTATATACTATGAATTAAAATTGCCATCCTTAATATTGCAATATAAGATAATTGAGAGAGAAATGGGATAGAATGTTAACCGAACCTATGGATGGAATGTTAACTGAACCTATAATGATTGTTTGGTTTGCTGTTTACAGAGCAATATGATGCATCTTCTAAGTCATCAGTTTCTCAGCAAGGAACATCGTAAGTAGCTACACTTATTCTTCTGAATACTTGAACTTCTGTCATTGGGAAGTTATGGCCAGAGCTACACTTTTATTTTGTTGTCCTCCACTGGGCAATATGTGATGCGAAGACCTCTGCTCTAGACACTCAGCAGGTCCTGCTGGTTGGCGGGCCCTCCAAGAGCTCAGATGAGACCTGGACCATTTCAAAATTGTGAAACCCCTTCATTGTTTGGACTTTAGTGGAACATCACAATATATGGTAGAAAGTTCCAAATTCAACTCTCAAGTCAAGGAAGACAGCCTAAGGGTTAAAGTGGAGAATGATGCACCTTGGCTGTGTTGAGGCTCCCTTGTTAGATGAGGTCCAAGGCAAATAGACCCCTGCTGGGCTCTCACAGGGCCTGTTGATTAGAGTAGACAGTAGTGCTTTACACTGTGCTTATAAACATTGGCTAGGGTGGCGATCCCCAACCCTTTTGGGGCCACGGACCAGTTGGGGGGGGAGCGGGCTCCATGCGCGATGGGTGCGTCATGCTCGCAGGGAGAGCGAGCGTGACATGGCCCCCTGCAGGCATGACACGCCCCACCATGCGTGCATGTGGGGGGGGGCGGAGATCCATATCCATAGCCCAATTCCAGCAAGCCCACGGACCAGCACCGGGCCACGGATTGGGGTTGACGACCCCTGGACTAGGGTAAGAGAGAACAGATCTGGAAAGTGCTACATTTTTAAGCAACCATAGAAGAACCAAAATCTAGACAACTATGTCTTAATATCTGGAGTGTTCCTCCTCCATCTGTTTCATCTAGCAATTGCAAAACAAAGAGGTGATCTAAATGAGGGCACTTTTTCTTCTTGAAGATTCAAATCTTTGGCAAGGCTTTTAAGGAAAGACACGGGTTCTGTCTTGCCAGGCTGCCTTAAGATGCACATCTAACCTGATTTCTTGGGTCAGCAGATCTTCATAATTTGTGTCGCTCTGTGATTCTAGTAAACAAATCATTGCACCAGCTATTAACAGACGTCATCACTTGTGTAGATAATTTTGCTGCTGGAAACTAGTAGGAACAGCTCGTGTGTTCCTAATGTATTTTGAAGTGTTTGTTTCTCTACTTTACATTTTCGGTTTTTCTCAAATGTCCTAACTCATTCTTCAGTTTGTGTAGCTTTTTGGAATGTTTGTTTAATGGGTGTTCTGCTGGGAAAGTGGAGCTGTGTAGCATTAAAGGCTGGTACATGTTATTAATTAGTTAGTGGGAGCAATCAGCTGGTGGCTCACCCCTCAATGCTACTGTTCAGTGGAATACTAACATGTTGTGACATGTGAACTTGTCCATTGTGTGTGTGTGTGAAATCCCCAGGCTCTTGTTCTGAGCAGAAATCACCTCTGCTGCTTTAGTTGCGACATTAGTTAAACATAAAAGCGAAATTTGATTAGCTTAATTAGACTAGTTTTCTCTAGAATTTATTTTATTTATTTATTTATTTTATATCCCGCCTATCTGGTCAGTTACAACCACTCTAGGCGGCTTACAACATAAAAAGTCAGATAAATACAAAAGGATTATTACATAATAAACAAATTCAACAAGATGGAAGGCAGACAATAAGAGAAGAGAGGAAAGGAAAACATCAGGGGTTAACTGGAGGGAAGGCCTGCCGAAACATCCACGTTTTTAGTTGATTTTTAAAGATACCCAGTGAGGGGGCCGTGCAAATCTCCGGAGGTAGGTTGTTCCAGAGACGAGGAGCCACCGCCGAGAAGGCCCGGTTTCTTGTTTTTTTCCTTCTGGGCCTCCCTCAGTGTCAGGCTCCTCAGCCTCACCTCCTGGCCCGTGCGAGTGACACGGGTAGAGCTTGGTGGGAGTAGGCATTCCGCCAGGTATCGAGGTCCTAAACCGTTTAGGGCTTTGTACGTAGGCATCAAAACTTTGAATCCTTGTTCAGTAATGAACTTCTGCTAGGCGGATGACTGCACTACTGACTTTCTGGGGTTCAGATAAAACCGATCTCTTGCTTCAGCTTCCTAATCAGTGAAGAGGGAAAGGCCAGTCAAATAAAGTTGGAAAAGGGATATCATTAGTGGTGTTCAAATCAAGATATTGCTGGTTGTGTTTGCATTGTGCCAGCTGATTTGTCTCAGATACAAAATTTGCCTTATATCAGTGATATATGCAAATTTTAATTGGGACCTGTGTACGCTCTTTTGATATCAGTGTCTTTAATGGTTAGCTTCCATTTTAGTTTTGTTTGGATGTCATTGGTCACATGAATTTTATGAAATTTGGTGGGGTTATTTCAGGCAAAGTGTGGCCTGCAGCTGTGCTGCACCAAAGTGTTTTTGACCCCTCAGCCTTGTCAGAATTTCTCACCCCAGCTTGTTAGAGCAGATATTTATATTTATGAGCATTTCTGTGAAAGGTTCTTCCAGTTAAAAATGAAGACAGTGCTATACCCGGTATGTCCCTTAGCTACTGACGTGGAGAAGTACAGTACTTCTGAATATGGAAGGTCTGTTCATCTACTACCTATTCATACCTCCTCCTGGTTAATCCAGTTAATTATCTCTGTCGTTGCTGAATCCCAGCCCCAGCCCTGTACTTATCAGTTGGTTTTATGTGCCTTTGTTCAGCATAGCCTTCTAGCATAACATAAACATAAAAGAATAGAATAATGCAAAGCTGTGGCTTAAAAGGGGGACCTACGGAGGTAGTTTTGACTGAAGCAACCTGATTTGTTAAAGTTTATTATTTCCAGCACCTGGATGCAGTTTATGCCAAGTAGCTAAGCAAACAGAAATTAGTTCAATGCATGCTAAGTCGTTATTTGTAACATACCTTTTCCATGCTCTAGATCAGTGACAGCGAACCTTTTTGGGCCTCAGTGTCCAAATTGGGGCCGGGGAGGGGACAAAAACCAGCAGACAGAGGGCAGCAGCGGCACCAGAAGTGGTGGAAGTGGGAATCCAGGGCATGGAGGTGCCTTGAGATCCCACTCCGGATCCAGCGCCAGATGCTCTGGATCCTGGCCCACCACCTGTTGAAGTGCCAGCACTGCAGCTGCAGCCACCTGCTCAGGTTTGGCTGCGCGGGGGGGGGGTGGAGCAGCGATTTAGCGTCATGGTTCTCATGCCTGCAAAGAGGGCTCTCTGCATGCCAGCTGTGGCACGCGTGCCATAGGTTCGCCATCGAACCCTATTTTGAGGAATAGGGAACCGACTGAGGCAGATGATTCAATATCCATTCAGGCCAGAATAGCTTGCATTTTTGGGGGGGAGTCATCAGCTTTTGTCCCTGTCAGAATCCGTCTAGTGGGACTATATTCTTCGATGGGTTCTGCTCTGGTATATTACAGTTCCAGTGTTTAGTCTGGGCCTCATTGTTTTTACTCTTGCACATGGAACATAGTCCTTGAGCCTTGCAGTGTTTTATCTTGTGCCCGTCTTAATGCCCATCTTACAAAGACAGCAGAAGATTCTCCATTTCCTTGCTAAGAAGAACTTTTATCCACAATTAACCAGAATGACTGATACTTGCGCAAAAGTGCAGAAGAAATGACTTTTTCCCTAAAGATTGGTCTGTAAAAGCAGAATAATCACCATTTGGACCAGGGATGTAATTATATATGTGTTCCATATTGGTTTGTTTTTGACGAGATCCAGCTTTGATTTATGTGTATGTGTTGCTCTGTACAATGATGCCTTTTCTTCCTTCCTTTCTTTAACGCCCATGACCATCTGAAACCCCTTCCATCCTGAGTCGCTCGCTTTACAGAGTGTGGCTGACTTGGAAACAAGCAGCATTTGTGCTGGTTAATTAGAGGCTAAAATCTCTCTGCATCTGTGGGCCCAAATTAATCATCCAGCTTTACAGAACAAACGTGGATTTCCCATAGAGGGCTTTTCATTCCTGAGTTCAGTCCTTCAGTTCAGCACCTGGCTTTGCTGGAATAGAAGCAGGTTTTATAGTTTAAAAAGAGCAGGTGGCACATTCATTTTCGCGGAGTGCCTAAGGAGAGACTAGTTTTTTCACTCGGTGTGAACACTTTTGTTTGTATGTTATTTTTTTCATTTTCTGTTTGTAAACACACACACACACCTTCCTTTTGAATAATTTGGTTTTCAGAGATATTTTCATTTTCCCTCCTGCAGATATTGAGCACAAGAGCAAGTTTGCCACCAGTGCAAGCTCCTAATACTTAACTCTATCACACTGTGAAAGCCTGTCAAAAGAGGTTGTATTTCCATTCTTGAATTTTCTGTTTTTTTTTTGGATCCATGAATCAGAGTGAGATGACTCTGGAAAACTGGCTTTTAAACCCATATAGACTAGAAGAGGACATTCTCAAAGTATCATTTTCCAGTATCTCCTCATTTTGATCATGGATCCAGAACTCATGGAATCAAGAATAAAAATACAAAATGTTTTTTACAGTATTTCATAGTATGATAAAGGTAGAGTTAAACTTTAGAAGGTTGCATAGATTCTGGCAGAAGTGTTGCATTTATGCTTAATATCATACGCCCTGGAATGCTACCAGCACCTTGCTAATGAGTGGCATTTTGCCACCATTCTTTCATTTACATATAGTTGCCAAGATAATTTTGGATGAAATGTTTAACTTTGGTTGGAACATTTCCTTGCTTTTTAAATTGGAAAAAAACCTGGATTTTTAAAAATAAGTTAAAAAAATTAAATATGGTTGTTCGCCTTATATTATTAACAATATGTAAGAGTCAGTTGAAATCTGTGCCTATGAGCTATCCTGAATCATAGGTACAGTACAGCTATGATTCACCTGTCAAACTTGGAAAACCTTCCTTGATTTCTTAATTTTAAAAAGCTCCTAGAAACAATCCCATCAGATTCTTACTGTATTATTAGTTCTTCTGAAAGCTTTTTAAAATGTGTTGATGGGGGCAATTTGTGTCTCCCCAGCCCCACCCCCCAGAAGAAGCTGTTCATAAGATAATAGAAAAATAAACGGTGTCATCTTTGGATAATAGATGTAATCTT